TCACTAGATTTATAAAGTACCGCAATCATTCCACCATTTTGGCTCCAACAAGCGGCTCATTCAAAACGTATGCATATGTGTATGAATGTATTTTGTAAATAAAAAGGAAAATCATAAATTATATTAATCAGTGTTTTTATTTATGATTGTTCTTGTTTACATACGTTTCATAGCAACGCTTCTATTACTATGTGTTTTTGATTCCGTAATATCAATATTTTCCTTTTTTAGTAAAGTGGATGCGTGCTATAACAAATGTTTTAATAAGTTTATAAACAATATTGTGGTAAGATGATACAAAGTCTGTGTAACAATTATTTAAAAACATTTGTACAAACTCTATAGGTTTTAATTTATTAGAAATAAAGTTATGTTCATTTCTTCTAAATAATAATTCACATTTGTATATAATGTTATATATTCCTATGTTTGGAAATATTAAAACATTATCCTTAAATTCTCTTAATCTAATGAAAAAATTTTGATTATTATTTGGATCATTCCTGCAATCAGTTATACGTTTTATTTCATAAATATTTCTCAGATCTCAGATTACACCATTACCCCGGATCTACAATAGAGATCTACAATTTTAAGCCTTAAGCCATAAGAAATGGGCGAATCACAATCGATTATTCCCCTCGGATTCAACTGTAATTGGTCAGTTTCTTACGGCTTAAGTCTTAAAACACCTATTGTAGATCCGGACCAACAGATCTTAGGTTAGATACATTGCATTTAATGTGTAGATATCATTTACATCTAGAATGGACCGCTGATGGCAATGGTGGGGGTAGAAAGACGATTAGAGTGAGAGGCAGGAATAATAAGATCGTTCCTTCTCTTTTTACTGAAGCCTGATTGGTTGTTGTTAATCCAACAGTAGTCCAACAACCAATCAGGCTTCAGTAAACAGAGAAAGAACGATCTTATTATTCCTGCCTCTCACTCTAATCGTCTTTCTACCCCCACCATTGCCATCAGCGGTCCATTCTAAATGTCGATGGTAGATATACGTTATGAAAAAGCACTCTTTACATTTTTCGACGCCATTTTGGCTCCAAATCCTTATACATTGAGTCTTATGGATTGCGGTACTTTATAAATCTAGTGACTTTAGGTTGTAATCTGAATGCACCCAATGAAAAATACAGGCAATAGGACAGGAAATAACAGATTTCAACCTATCAGAAACCGTGTATTCCAGTGTATCCAATATCTGATAGGTTTAAATCTTTATTCCTTAAGGTACAATTTCACGAGCCGCTTAAACCGGCTGTTTCAAAGACAAAAAGGATCACGTGGTCAAAATTGACGAATATCATTCGAATGATATTCGTCAATTTTGACCACGTGATCCTTTTTGTCGCTGAAACAACCAATTTGAGCAGCTCGAGAAAATTTACCTTAATTCCTGATTCCTTTTATTGTGGCTACACCTTTATTCTACGCAGCCTCTATGTGTTGATTGGCTATAGGATGAAGAGATCCGACAACTTTTCTTTCTTGCAGCCAATCAATAGTGACTTTAATGCCTAATTCACACTGGACGCAACAAGCAGCGGAACAGCAATCAGTGAGGGTGAGGGTGCAGTCCCATGGAGCGTATCGCGGATCGCGCGTATCGAAAATCTGACCAATCGCGGACGTTCCGCTGTTTTTGATGCGCGAAAATTTCGTTCCTATGGTCCCATGGAGCGAAATTCGCGTAAGCGGATCAGGCGGATAGTCAATCATAAAACGAGTTTTGTTATTTTTCTTTATTTGCCTTCATCTAAACAGTTGTATGATTGGTAAACCGCCGATCCGTTTACGTTAATTCCGCTTCATGGGACCATAGGAACGAAATTATCGCGTATCGAAAATAGCGGAACAAAACTGACTTCTGCGGACGAATTACTGTAGGACCGCAGAAAAAAGAGGATAGCCGTAAAAAGTAAATAACCATATTGTGTAAGTAAATTATATTAAATATTAATTTATTTAATATAATTAAATTTTTTTAAAAATAGAACAATTGAAGGGCTAAGAGCCAGTTATGTAATAAAGAACGTTTAATTTAAAACATAAAGATAATTAAAATAATCATGATTATAACATTTCATTTTGTTTTATATTTACAGAGTCTTTTATTATTTATTATTTTTATATACGCGGTCGAAATGAAGCGTTATAATCATGATTATTTCAATTATAATATCTTTATTAAATGTTCTTTATTACATAACTGGCTCTTAGCCCTTCAATTATTCTATTTTGTTTTATACACTTACAGTCTTATTATTATTTATTAAATTAAAAAATTCGCAATGGTTTAACAAGTGTAGAATAAAATAAAAAACAATATTGCTTTTGTTGTTATTAACAAAACGTCTAGACCACAACCACAATGCTTTCATCAAGCAGGAAATATATCATAAAATTATTAAAACATATGAGCTTTATTCTATATTAAGAAAAAGTGAGAACAAACCTATTAATAGAAGAAAACGAAAATATTGGGTCAGTCGAATATTTACTATTGAACGATGGTTAGCACAAGGAGCAAGCAATAATCTCGTTAATGAACTGGAGCAACAAGATCGTGAATTCGTGAATCGTGAAAGATATTCACTGTCTTCTTTTTTATTTCAGATAGAGCTTCTTCTTTGAGTTTAAATGACTCAGGTTCTCGTTGACGAGGTAAACGCAGCTAGTCGTATAAGGCACAATCGAAACCGGCAATGCTTTCCAAAAAAACGATGCAACAATTTTCGACGCAATCTTGCGATTCTACGCATATCACATCTCGAGGGCTGCCATATGACACTACTTCTTTAGACCAAGCGATTTTACTTAAATTCGGCGCGTATTACGCTACAATAATGGATTCAGCGGAACGGCGGCGTATCGAAAATAGCGGAACGTCCACGATTGGTCAGATTTTCGATACGCGCGATCCGCGATACGCGCGATACGCTCCATGGGACTGCACCCTGAAATCACACCATGCGGAAAAAGACTGCGGAATAGAGAATGCGTGATTGAAAAATCAATCAGCGCTATTCCAAATAACGCTGAATAGCGCTGATTGGTTGCTTCAATGACGCATTCTCTATTCCGCAGTCTTTTTCCGCACCGTGTGATTTCACCCTGCGGCGTCATTTACAGTGGCGTAAACAATATCGGCTTGCTGGTTGGTTGCTACTCCGTTGCTTACTGTGTCCAGTGTGAATTAGGCTTAAAACGCATATATTTGCAACGCCATCTATTAAAATAATTTGAGTATTCTCAAGCAGATTACTCTCTTTATATGTTATACTCTGTGATGTAACGCTTGATAATTGTAATTTGTTTACAGAAAATTAACGGAGAATAATTTTTATTTAATATATTATGGCAGGTGAAGTGGTTGTTGATGCATTGCCGTATATTGACCAAGGATATGATGAACCGGGCGTACGAGAAGCGGTGAATAATAATTACATTCATTTTTTCCAATGTAACAAAATAACAGTATTCTGACAGGTTATGCTCTAAAAGTGCTGTTGTATTAAGAAAAATCCTCGTGTAAATTTCTTTCATTTCACAAATATTTGAGGTTTGATGATATTTCTTAGGCGTTGGCGATGGTGGAAGAAGAGACACGACGTTACAGGCCGACGAAAAATTATTTGGAACATCTACAACCTTTGTGCATAACTGGTTTCGAGACGGAGGTATTGAAGCATGAATTCGAGAGGATGCAGAATCGCTTGCCGATGGAAGTACTTAGTATGAAACGTTACGAATTACCACCACCTCCATCTGGCAAGTTAAACGATTTAACTGCATGGAATGAGAGTGTGGAGAACAGCAGCGCGCAATTGGAGCATCAAGCTACTAGGTAAAAAAGCTACATTTGATTTAGAATGATTTAGATGCTCACATGCTATAAACACTTATGTACTTATAAGTGCTTTTCTAGGTTTTTCTAAGTGTCATTGGTCTAAACAAAAATATATATCAGTAATGATCTCAACGACATTACTGAATCAATAAGTGGTTATAAACGTCAAAAGGAATGATATAAATGATGTGTATAAGCACTCTTTCTAGAATCAGAAATCAAAAGAAAAATAAGCATTTTTAGCACGTAAATGTAACAGGGAGGATTGATCCACAATTTTTTGGATATAACAAACTTATACGAACCTAAGTTCATAGTACATTGCGAACAGTCACATACAGTCACATATTATATACACAGCACATAAATATGTATTTCCAATTTTATATACTTCAACCATTGATACTGGCGAAATAATCCTCTATATGAGAGGCTGTATGGCTTCTATACTTTGGAGTCAACCCTTTCTCTGTTGAAAGAGTTCGAGAAGAAAAAGAAGCATGTGAGCATCCAAATCAAATGCAATTTAGGACTTATTGATATATAATCCGCCTTCTCAGATTTTTGTACTGTCTTCTATACTTTTGTATAATTTTAGAATCTGTAATTTGGAACTGATGATGGATTATGGTTGCGAAGCATGGAAATCCTACTTGGAAGTGTTGGTTCAGATGCTAGGTCATGCTCAGAAGCAGCTGCAAACGCTGAGGAAAAAAATTCAGGAAGTTAACTGGCAAAGGAAATCAATGCAAACTCAAGGAGGCGACAAACTGAGAGCTCTCGAAGCACAGTGGGTCAGTTTGGTGTCGAAAAACTACGAGATCGAGCAAGTCTGCGTACACTTAGAGGAGGAGATGCAAAGGGTATTTTTAAATAAAGAGGCTGTGGAGATTAATGACGTACCGGCAGCAGAAGGACCCGATGTGCCAGGTAACAATGCAACAGAAACTATGGCATTACAAATGCAGCAACAGGAGAATCAGGATGTTTAGTGTAATATAAATTTTTATGTATATAAATAAAAATAAATAATTTATACAGAGATTTTTGACAATGGATATTGTATCCACAAAGAGCATTCGTGGACGCATTATGGGGTATATCTATAATAAAGCAGAGTTTATTTCATTATAGTTTACACATATCACACTTGTGGTTTATGCTTTTACAATATACATATGTACACGACGGTTATCGTTAGCGCGATACACTACTAATTAATTATTTGTAATTTACGATGTGCTGAAGGATCTGTTTTATAATAGGCTGTTTGCGTTGTTTCATGTATCGACACAATTGCACACATTGCGTAGGCCTAGCTGAATTTTTTTTTGTATTTTATTTAGGACAGCAGCAATATATACCTTGATATAATTACAAAGCGAATAGCTAAGCGCCTTTACTTTTGACTATTCGATGTAAAAAAATACGTGTGTGACTTCGATCTCCATTTTTGTGTTCAATCATGTCCTCTTGCGACAGGACAGATGTTAAAAATAATTATTGGGTTACTAAGCTTGCATCATTTTTGCCATTTAATCACTCAACTGTCATAAAGATGTTTCGCTGGCGCCAGAACTTTGAGACTGCAATGCCATACTTCCCTTGTAGCCCATTGACTCTTCCTCCAATAGAGCTATTCGTTGCTTCAATGTTTTCACCTGCAAGGGAAGATTAATTTAAGAAAATTAATTTAAAGAATAATGCAATTGCAATATATATCTGATATGTCCGATGCGATCTGTTTGTTAATGTAAACTATGATTTTAAAACACGTTTTAGTAGAAAACAGATATATTTTTTTAGTTTATTTTATTCAAAACATAAAATAAAATCTAAATAACTTATATTTATATATAAGATTTTTTGAGCTTTATCCCTTATATATATTAGCATAATATGTTGCATAATTAATTTTAAAATATGCAATTTTTTTTCCTCCTGAACAATTTAAAATTTTTTATTTGTATCACTTTTCTAACAAGAGTGCGATGCATCATCGCTTATTTAGGGTGTGGCGCTCATTATTCTTCGGCGCTCATTAGTTTTACGAACATTATTTGTTTTTGTTTAATATTTGATAAATAAGGATGAAATAAGAATGAAATAATTTCATGAACATTGCGAGCGTCGAGCGTCGGCATGAAAAGGCACCTTTAGTACGCTGATTGCGCATATTGCATCAGGAACGATCCAATATGGCGGCAGTTGGTTAACAGAGGGAATGGTTATGTACCTAATTCGGCGAACAAAATTTAGACATTTCGATGTTATCTTATAGACTAAAACTGTGGAGGTTATATAACAAACTGCCAGGAAAAGCGCTCGGCGAGTACCGATTACTGCCGTTATTCTTCATCCTCGGAGCTGCTTTGGAATATTCCATGATCCACTGGCAAGTTGGAGAGGTTAACTTCTACAAAGTGTATAAGCGTCGAAAGGTAGAGGAATTGGTGGAACGAAGACTAAAGCTGGAACAGGCCTGAAAAGACAATTTTCGCACCAACTTTCTATTGGAATATCGCACCATGACGTCTCTGTCACGGTATATAGTATTTTGTGCAGCAGCACTGGCTACAATGGTGGCTGGCTCGCAGTGTGTTCACGAGATCTACAAACCACTTGATGACCTGGAGGATCTAGTCGAACAGAAACTAAAGGAGAGGCGGGGAGAGCTGCAGAAGAAATAGTATTGCAGAAGAATGTATCTAGTGTAATAAATTATTGTTGTTTTTACGAACGAATGATTAAAAACGAACTTCATAGTAGCTGCGAAAAATTTTTCGTCAACATATGATTTTACTGTACTTTTTGTGACAATCTATTTTTCAATTTATGAGTTAAATAAAGTTCTTGTTATAATCAACTTAATAACATGATTTTAAATACTAGAATATATTAAGTAATTTATATACTAGATTTTTATTTGTAAAGATCTGTAATATGTAATACAATGAAAATACTCATTGACCAGAAACTTTTCGCAACCATTGTATACTCAATCATACCTGCACAGCGTGTCTCTCTACCATTCCTAGCATCTGCTGCTCCAGCTTCTTTAGTCTGGATTGATATTTCTTCTTAGATTTCTCCAGAGTTTGGACTAGCGCTCTGAGGAGAGCAAAAAAAATTTTATTTTTATTACAAGTACAGGGTAGAACATGAAATGTCATACTGTTTATTTATCCAATTTTCAAACTTTGATAACCCTCGACTACAGTAATGGATCATTTGAACTCGAAGCAAAAATTTTAGACGATTGGTACAATCTGTATCTATACGATTAATACTATGATGTTCTAAATTGTAGAGAAAAAAAACTGAACCTTCTTCTATATCAATCATAAGGTGGAGATTCACTTGCATTCTGTATTTAAAACAGACTGCTTTAAAACTTAAATATAGTTTCCTAACTCTTAACTACACAGCTGTAATTAAGAGTTAATTCTATATATATATATATATATATATAGGATGTAGAAAAGTCCCGGATCCCTTAAATCTTGAAACGTAATCATTTTTAAGAAAAATGTTTTATACAAAAGTTGTAGGATTGAAAATGATCTATTGACCGACCTTATCAATTTGACCTTGGATGGCGCCACCAAGGTCAAGTCAAGGTCAAATAGATTTTTTTAAACAAAACACCCTATTTTTGATTTTAGAATCTAATAGCTGAGGTTGGGAGCTTTCAAAAACACTATAATAAAGCCTCTTTTTAATCAGTACTTTTCGAGTTATGAGAGTTGAAAGTTACGGAACCGCCGGCATTAGCATATTATCTAAAGTATTACGTAGAGATTGTCCGAATGGATTTATGAGTCATGTATGTGCCCGCGAATGTCTGTATCTCTATCTCCTACCCTTTCCTTCTCCTTTCCCTCCCCCTTCCCTCTTACTCCTTTCCATCTCCTCTCCCTCCTTCCCACCCTTTCAACAAAGCTGGAGACTACATAAGCTAGAGATCTCTCCTGTTAAGTTCACTTTTTCTGTGTCCTGCAATTAAGAAGGTATACTTTTTCGTGATACTTCGTTCTGAGATTGCTTATCGCCACATAGTTATCTTTGTTTATAAAGTATTTATTTAAAATACTTTATAATGCTTACTGAACAGGAGCGTATATCCCTTTTAATGATGCGAGGATGGGGTGATCGTAAGAGGTCTTACGCACATGTGACAAAACTTTTCAATCAAACTTTTAGGAATGAGGACAATGGTATATCTAAATCAACTGTTATTCGTACTGTTTTTAAGAAATGGGTTTTGTATATATAAATCAAATGGTATGACATTTCGTTTACCACTTGTATATACGTACAGTATGCAAATTTTCTGCAATCAGAGTTGGTATGTATTTGGAATACTTTTATTTAAATACTTTTATTTGCAATACAAGGATATTTTATATTTTACTAGAGCGCATAAAAGGATTACATATTTTGTATTTCAACTCGAAAGATTGAGAGTTTTAGTATTTGAAATACAAAATACTTTCAATCTTTCATTATTAATACTGAAATACAAAATACAATTGTTTTACAAATACTGTTTTTTTTTTAAATAAAAGTATTTTAAATACACACCCAGTCCTGGCAATAATTACCCGTTAGCTCTTTTCAAGTCGTTGACGAGTTCGGCAGATTGTTGATGCCTGAGTTCGGAATTCTTGTTGACTTCATCCAGGGTTGAGATCAATTCTTGCAGGCGTTCCTTCAGTCTCGCTTCTCTGCCTAACGCTTCGATCAATTCAGATTCCATTCCCTCGCTTTCGTTGTCACTTAAACCTCGGTCCTAAATACGTTTTCAATTATCAAGATACCGAAAGAGACCTATATATTTGTGAAAATTATACGCGATACCTTGTTTGTTGCCATCGCGAGCATAGCCTCTGCGTCGCTCAGCTGACCCTGGAGATGCTGTATGGTAGCATGCTGGGCTGCAATCTGTGTGTCGCGCGCGTTTAGCTTCAGTTCTATCGTAGCACGTTCCTTCTCTAGAAGGAACACCCTGGCACGTAACTCAGCCTTGTCTTCTCGCATGGCCATTAGTTCCTAAAAATATATTCTTGAGAAATAAATTTTATGATACTGAACTTTTCTTTACATATTTTTAGTTTGTAATGTTTAATTAAAATATATTAATCACGCGTTAGTGAAAAAGTCTATATTCGATCAAGACGGTTCTTCGTATAGATCTAATATAATCATTTGTCTATTTCATTTATGAACTTTATTTTAATATCGAGAATCCTGTACCACTTTTTTATATAAAAAAAAATATTAATTTATCTAAAAAAATGTTCTCTTGAGTTTTTAAATTCTCTTAACTGGATATCGACCTGCATGAGCACGGCAGTTTCCAAGTCGAGTTTCCTGGCCTCCGCTAGAGAGATGGTGTTCTTTGAGTTTAGGGGTTCTGCGTGCACGCTCTCCAGTTCGACTGCTGTCGATCTGACCATTGTACGTTCTCCCTTCAATCTACCGATGTGCCTCCTGAGTCGTTGTTCATCCTCCACGTTCCACGTTATTTCCGATCTATCGGAAAGGCGTTCGTGATAAAATTTGCACATATTACGCACGATGTAAAATACCTACTCGTCCGATAAGACCATGCTGTCTTCCCATGGAGCACCTAGCGTGTTAGTACAGTCATTCTCGAGTCTATTTAACACATGATAAGCAACGTTTTCAGCCGCCCTTCTATTATCGATTGTCACACTGTGCCTCTCGGTGGAAAGAGCAATTTCGCTCTCCAGCAGAGCGACTAGAACGTCGTAGGCCTCAATCGCGCGATCACTAAACGAAAGTGCGAGTCGCAATGCCGTCGCATTCGATTCGTACTTGCCGACTAATAAGCTCAATCTGTAACGCAGGACAAAAATTATTGTTTTACATGTATCGTTCCGATAGGATTGTGTCATATATTTCAAAATTGTCTTTTTCAAATTTCAATTTATATAACTTTTAACTTGACAATAGTTCATTTATTAGGTTTTTTTACACACATAAATAACTATTTCAGTGAACTTTTTCGTTCTTTTATAAACGATTCATACCTTCTACCATACTAGATCTACTTCAATAACTTTGTAATTGCCATAAGTTTGTATCAATTATTGAGATCATTATATATCACGAAGAATCAATCTTGAATTTCTGTCAATATGTTCTTATTAAATCATTATATTCATCACATTATTTCACAAATGGATTGTAAAATGCGCTTAATGTTAATGTAAATT